CATTTTCTAAAGTTAGATGGGTTAGCAGGTCTTGGCATCTTGTACATGGAATGCTCTCTCCAGGAAGACTTGCTTATACACATTTTGTTTTGTTTTATTTATATCCTTCCTCGTCCACCAAATATAGTACTCAGAATGGCTAACAATAACATTAACTATGCAGATAAAAAAGAACTATAATGAAAATATTAAATTCTATTAAAATATAATGTAAAACACCTCAGTATAATAGAAACAAATGACACTAATATCTTTCTACTATTCTCTACAAGATGTAGCAATAATTGTGTCTTGTTGCACCTTGAAGACCAATATATTTTTTTGTGCCATCTAAATTTTTGTGAGCCTGTTCCCTTAATCAAGAGCACAAAGTATTAATTCTCAGTAGCATGGCATTATATAAAAAGAGAGAAGAATTTATTTGTTAGTCATATTCTGTATTTGAATGGGAGTGTATATGTTTGTCTTTTTCTGCTCTGGTTTATATTTCTATTTGCTGGAATTTTATGGTTTTTATTTATTGTAATGCCATTCTGAGACTATTTTTATTGAAGAACAGTCATTATTCATGTTATGAATGAATAATGTAGACCTTTTGTCATTAAAATTAGAATTTTGCTGGGTGACATGCCATGATTTCACTATGAGGTAGTTGTTTGTTGCTGAGCTGTAGTTACATGATCTTTGTTCACAAATAATTCTTGTCAGAGTATCCTTTTGTTTTCTGTTCTTTGTTTTTCATTTTGTACAGGTTTTGCACGTAAGGCTAGTAGTTCAACACATTGTTTTATATTTGAGTTTTACATCCTTAGCAGTTAGGCCTCAGGCCAGGGTACAGTATAGAAGCTGCATTGGTTGTGTTTGTGGATGACCCGTGGAGAGACTGGGATCAGGGATTGCAATCGTCCTAGTCCTCTTTGAACTCTCAGCGGCTTTCAGGACTACTGACCATGGTATCCTTCTGGACCACTTCTGAGGGATTGAAGAGGGACGACATGGTTTCACTGTGGTTCTCCTTTGTGAGGGGGCAGTTCTAGTTGGTGGTAGTGAGGGGATGATGGATCTGCTCAGAGACTTCTGCTTTGTGGAATGCCTATCCAGTTCTTTGTAACATCTACATGAAACCACCAGGGAGGCCATCTGTCTGCAGGAGGTCTGGTTTTGCCAAATGTTGATGATACTCAGTTTTACATCTTGTCCCTGGGCCAAACAGACAATGCAATATTCATTTATTTATTTAGATTTATGTGGCTGCCCATCTCACTATAGTGACTCTGGGCAACTAACAACAGCTAAAAAACCTATCATGACCGCCAAGGTAAAAACAGATCTAATGAACCAAAAATGCCCCATGGGCTCCAACAAACCCCTGACTTCTGTGCTGGGAGCACATCCAAGTCTTCAGTGCTTTTTGAAAGGCCAGAAGGTCGGAGCCAATATAATGTTGAAGGATATAGTGTTTCAAAGGGCAAGCGCTGTGACAGAAAAGGCCTGCTTCCTGAGTCCGCAAGATGAAATTCTTTAACTGACAGGCCCGCAGCATGCCTCTCCTGCTAAATCTGATGGGAGAGGTAGAAATAATTGGGGAGAGGTGGTCCTGCAGATAACCCAGTCCCATGCCATGAAGTGCTTTATAAGTGACAACCAGCACCAAGAATTGTATCTGGAAGCATACCGGGAGTCAGTGCAGTTCATGGAGCAGAGGTGTAACATGGGCATGCTGAGGTGCACCCATAACTGACCATGCTGCCACATTTTCAACCAGCTAAAGCTTCTGGATGTTCTTCAAGGACAGCTTCATATACAATGCATTGCATTAATCCACTCAGGAGGTGGTCAAAACATGAATGACCTCGAGCAGAGTCTCCTCATCCAGGAAATCATTTTATTCTGATGATTATTTTGAGTTTTAGCTGTCCAGAGCTTTCAGGAATGGGTAACATATAACCAAAGCAAATAAATAAATAAGCAAATAAATAAATCCTGAGTGTATTTCAGTATATTGCTACATATTCTGTTTGGTGGGATCCAGGCAACAGTATGGTAGTTTTCAAGATTGTATCTAAAATTGTGTGATACTTTGGCCAAGATGTCCCAAAACTGATTGGATTGGATTGGATTGGATTGGATTGGATTGGATTGGATTGGATTGGATTG